AACCAGGTTTTGATGAAGTTATCATAGAACATTCATAAGAAGAAGCTTTACATTTATTACCCCCTACAACAGTATCTGGTAAGTTTGCTAGAACATCCGGGGCCGATGATTTACGAGTTATAGTTTTCGCATCGTCATGTCGTAATGATTGATTTGCCCAGAAACTCATCAGTGTACCTTTTTTCTTTTTGAACAGTGCATCATATTCACTTAACATAACTTACTTATGCAGGAAGATTATCTTCAGATTTCACCTTACTCCAAATATCATTAACTTCCTTTTGACAATCTTGTTTCCTCTTCTGTGAATATGCTTTAACATGCTTTAGCATCATAAAGTGATGCGTATAACTGTCCTTTGTCTATCTTTATATTATGAATTACCTGAAACACATTTGCACTCATTTAGAGAAATTAAAAATATTACATTTATGCCATAATATAAATTACTATCAACTTAGTTATACTGATCGCTAACTAGCTACTATCCTATTTACACTATTATTTGATCATAATCTGTGTTTCCTATTGGCTATTTAAAACATTAGCAAGTCTATTTAACTTAGTTATCATATATTATATATTTATTTAGTTATATAACGGGTGATGCATAATTAGTGACACAAAAATCAAAGCCTTATATTTTTAAAGAAATAAAAGAAAAAAAATTTTTCATTTTTAAAAAATAATAACACAATATTTATTTTTTAAAAATTATTTTTTGTAAATCGATTGAACGCCTTGATCGGCTATTAATCTCAATTTAGTTTTGATACCCTTCATAAGGGATTGTAAAAATGTCAAATCAATTTTTTTCAGACAGGCTTCGATACGCCGAATCAGTTGTTGTTCACTTTTGGCCTCCCATCCACCCTCATACACATTCTGAGCCAATACTCCCCAAAAGTCTTCGATTGGCCTGGCTTTGGGGACATTAGGAGGGTTCATATCGACCGGCACGAAGTTAATTATTTCATTCATCCACGATATTGCCTCTTTAGCTCTATGGGCACTAGCTAAATCCGGCCAAAATATGTAATTTAAATCATCGTGATACTTATCTATGAATGGCAACTATCGTTCCTCTAAGCATTCTTTGATATAAATTTCAGATTTTATTGCAGCCGAGGTTGACGACCGGAAGAGTGGTTTCGACATTCCACGCTCAGATAATGCGATCCAAACGAGAATTTTTTTCTGAAATTTCTCTTTTCCCACAAAACAAACATTTTCTGGACATTTTTCTTTGTCATTCGTGTAACAACCGGCGTTTCCAGGCATTTCATCGCCAGCAAAACAAAAGTATTTTTCGTCGTCCAAAATTAAAACGCTTTGTTCTTTGTAGAGGTGATTGACGAGTTTTCGACTTCTTTTTTGTGCCCTTAGACGTTGTTCATCATTGTATTTCGGTGTTTTTTCGCGTTTCCGATATTTTATGTTCATTTTGGCTAATTGTCTACAAATTGTTGCTTGATTTACATTGAATTTACGTGCGAGCTTTCTTTGACTTACACCTTTTCGATTGTTGGTCAACCTTTTAAGTTTCGCTTTTTTTTCTTGAGTCCACGACGACGGGCGACCAGAATTTTTTTTTATTTTTAAACATTGTCCATCAAGCTGTCGATTGATATATCTATATGCTGTTTTGCGAGCGATTCCTTCTTTAATAAAATGGTTAGCGGCTTCGGCTTTGGTCGCTTTTGGGTTTTTTACAAAAAATTTTTTGATACTTTTTTGAAGAGCTGCTCTTTCTTGGCCGTTTAACATTTTTTTTTGGATAATTTTTTTTTTAATAAAACTAGAATATTCAATTTATCAAAATAAATTTATATGGTTTAATGAAAAAGATTATATTACGAGCAAAACTATGTTAACTTTTGTGTCACTAATTACGCATCACCCGTTATATTTTTGCTTGTTTATATAATGTCATGAGATTCAAAAAATAACATAAAAGATAATGTTTTTTAAATGTTTTATTTACTTATTTAAACCCTCCATTTAAAATTCCAAACTTGAATTATACATTCTTAATTTAATAATTTTGCATTGCTGTGTCTTCAGAAACGTGAAGTTTTTGCAAACTTTTTAAACTATTTAAAATACAGCAATACACAAACATGAGTAGTATGCGTAAAATTCTGAAACACTCCTTTAATTAAATGAGTAAATAAATAGAAAATAAACTGTCATGATAAATAGTATTTGTGACGTCACATTAATCAACCCCCTCCCCCCTTGTCACAAATTGTCACAAAATTATGCCTCCCCCCCCCCTCCCCCTCTAGTAGCGTGACTTTATGGATGACCCCTACAGGACACCTAGTTTTGTAGTGAGTATTTAAGAAATTAGTTATATTTTTGAACATGTCCTGCTTAGGTTTAAATACATAGAAAGAAATTAGTTTTTTACAAGCATCTTGAAAAAACTTAATTCAATCAGAAGATATATTGACCTGAGAATTGCATTTAATGAGACCCATATCTTTGTCACGCCCATGTAGGAATGATCTCTTTTAGGAAAGGTAACTTTAACAGAGTCAGAGTTTTTTTTGTTTGTTGAGCCATGTAATCCAGAAGCCTTAAGACTGTATAGTTTTTATTTTGACCAGCACAAAAATCCCAATGTTTTTTACTAATGAACTTGAATGATGAACAAAAAAATCATATAGTATTGAGATTATTTCATCTGCTCACTTTTTTTAGTCTTTTTAGCATCAGTTTCATTATAAATACAGCCAAAAACATCTTTTCTTTTGGTGGCCCACCTAAAATTATATTGTTAAATTTAAAAGTGGTTTATATAGTTAAGCTGTAAAATTATATTCTAAAAACATTATTTTTAAAACATTAATGTTTCTTTCAACTATCAAAAACTATTCTTCTATATAAAATTCCTGTAAAGTAAAACACTGCACCTGTACCTACACTGTACACTGTACTTGTAGTTGGTACACATCTTTTTATTGTTTCCAATCTACCTCTCTACTACTATTCATATACTTTTTTTGATCCCAAATGTAGATAGGAATGCTTTGAAACACTCAAACAAATTGACAGTTATTAACAATTTAAACTTGTAGCTAAAACTATTATTTCTACTTGACTTTTATTTACATGATCTTATTTTATTAATGTTAGTTATCGTTATAAGTGTTGCTAAAAATAAATCACGCATTTCTTTGCTCCCTATTGAATTGATTTTAATGAAGAAACTTTTTTAATAAATGTTTTTATTCATTATTAATATATATATATATGTATATATATATATATATATATATATATATATATATATATATATATATATATATATATATATATATATATATATATATATATATATATATATATATATATATATATATATATATATATATATATATATATATATATATATATATATATATATATATATATATATATATATATATATATATATATATATATATATATATATATATATATATATATATATATATATATATATAGTAATAGTAATACAAACTGCTGTAACGGCGATTGTCGCGGAGCATAAAGTTTAAAATTTATACTTTAACAGCCGTTAACAAATGTTTATCTAGTCTAGCTTTAAAAGAATTTACTGTCATTGTAGAAACCACTTTTTCAGGTAAAGCATTCCAATGAGGTATCACTCTGTTCGTAAAAAAATTATGTCTCGGTGTTGTTTTTGCAAATATATGTATATATATTTGCAAAAACTCTATTATATATATATATTTTTTTTTTGCAAATATATATATATATATATATATATATATATATATATATATATATATATATATATATATATATATATATATATATATATATATATATAATAGAGTGCCTCTAAAAACAACTTTTTTTGAAATTGTCTGCTGCTACCTCCTAAATGTGTTCTATGTAATAAATTAACACTAAATTAAAAAAAAAATTTTAATAAAAAAAAAATTTTAGGGGTCGCTCAAGACCCTTAAACATCAAACGGGTCCCTAATATTTTAAAAAGTTCTTCAAAAGTATATTATGTTGGGTCTCAAAAGAAGTAAAATTTTATAAAAATTTCAAAAATAATAAAAACAATTTTTTGGTAAAAAATGTTTTTAAACCAAATTTAAACTAGTAATTTTTATATAAAATGATTATTTTAATATTTTTTATAAAATTTCACTTCTTTTGAGACCCAACATAATATACTTTTGAAGAACTTTTTAAAATATTAGAGACTCGTTTGATCTTTAAGGGTCTTGAGCGACCCCTAAAAATTTTTTTTATTCAAAATTTTTTTTAATTTAATGTTAATTTATTACATAGAACACATTTAGGGGGTAGCAGCAGACAATTTCAAAAAAAGTTGTTTTTAGAGGCACTCTAAAACATTTTGCAAATTTACAAATTTGCAAAATGTTCACACACGAGCAGTAAATACGTAAGGGAAGAATGAAATAAATAACGATAAAGGATGCTTACTATCTTTACACGGTCAGGTATCTTGCATTTTGGAAAAAAGTATAACTTTTCGAAGCAAATTTATCTATTGTCGTCAATAGTCGCATATATTACAGTTTGAATTTAAACTTGTAAAATATTGTATTTATAATATAAAATTATAGATATCTATTAAACGATTTTCTATTCAATTTAATTCAGGGCCGCCGATAGCCGTCATGCCGCCTGCGACAGCAACCTTGATTGGCGCCCTTATATATCAAAACTTCCCTATATTATAGATGAAGGACTCGGCTCTAAATTAATAGATTTTACCTTAATTTAATACATTAGTTTCAAAATTGCCTTAATAAATTCTTTATAAAACGTTTTTTACAACTAAAAGTTTTTATGCATCTTTTCATAATTCTTCGAAAATATTTATTGAACGACAATTGTATGCATCTAACTTATTTTATAATGGCTCGTTAAAAATTCACTAATTGATTAAATCGAAATTTGTAAGTTGCAGTCAAAGTTTTCATCTTTAGTTTTTGATAATATTTTTAGTTTCCGGCGAGAATACACTCCTGGTATCAACGGAGATTGGCTAGTTGATCAATTGGATCTCAATATACAATCACTTCCGTCCTTTTAAAGTTTACAGATTTTATGAATTTAAAAGGTTTTGTGATACTAGTTTAGTCCGTTAATGTTTGACTTTTTACGGCTTTTTTACTGTTATATACGAAGTAACTAGCGTATTAAGTTTTCTTTTTGTGTTTTTTTTTTTTTCTGTTGTCGCAATAGTGATTTTATGTAGCGTTTTTTGTTTTGTAAAAATATATTTTTGAAAACCGAAGTACAGTACATTTTTGCGTACAAGAGGGTCGCATATGTAAAGTTATAATTAGGGAGAGATGAGTTAGGAAAAGAGCCTTTTTTCAGAAGTTTGCAATTCATGCTAACAATAAATTTATATATACTTTTTTTATTGGCATTTATTTAATATACAAAGGATAGGTAAAGGAAGAGAATGGTTTGAAGCTGTATTGCATTTAAATTATTTTTTTCACTGAACGTAGTTTTTCTGCAGCCTAAAAATTCGATTTTTATTCTTATTAGGATTTTTTAAGTCAAGACTTTAAGACTTGCTTTAAAAATGCTTTACAAGTCAAATGTTTTAAGACTTGCTTTAAAAATGCTTTACAAGTCTTCTATATAAAAAACTTTGTCTTAAGTACTTAAAAGCATGCTTTTCTTGACTTACTTTTAACATCATTTTTCAGCTGACTTGCAATTTTATTTAGAATTATTTTTTGTATCTAAGATTACTGAAGATGCCATATTTTTTGCAAGAGTCAAGATTTTTTACAGATCGGTCTGTTTAAATGTAATTTGGTTTCCTAACGCAACTATCCGGCAAACTTAAAAATTGCTTTTTCAAGTGTTACACACAATTAAAGTACAAAAGATATCTTCGTTGCATTAGAGTACAGCGATTTGTAAGAGTGAATATGGCCTGAGAAAGTTAGGCGCAAAAATCTTTGAAGTGATGCCTTTTCACTATGCAAACTAGTATCCATAATTTATATTAGTTTTTGTGTTACACAATGTATATATATTATATAGTTAGAATTTATATCAAGACATTGTAGTGAAAAGACACAGCTACTTAAATATTTGTCAAAAAAAGAGAAGTTTTTATAAATTAAAATAAAAATTAATCATTGAAAATGTCAATGACAATTGTATAAGTTGAAAATATTTGATAGAAACGTTTTTGGAATATATTGGTGAAATGGAAGCGATTCCGAAGAAACAAAAAATATTCGAGGATTCTCATAAAATTCAAAATATACAGATACCCAGCTTTTTTATAAAATCATTGATATCTGGACATTTTTTAATCCTAAAAACTAAACACTTGCATCAAACAGAGTATCCCATTCTTGAATAGACCGCTTTTACATAAGCAAAAAACACTTGCTTGCGTCAAACGGAGTATCTCATTCTCGAATAGACCTGAGATCTCGAATAAATCTGCGATTAAATAGCTTCCATAACTATTATATTAAAAAAAACTAAAACCCGGGGTTCTGAATTTTCAATTATGTCACAGGGTCCCAAAATATGGAAAAACTTGATAAGTCAAAAATTAAAAGACTTAAATGGAATATCGTCGTTTCAACGTCAAACAAAGCTGCATATTCTTAGTTTGTAAAAATGATTGTAATAAATTAAAAATTCTTTTTATCACGATAATAAATTTATATTTTGTATCGTATACCTGGAGAAGAAAAAAATAAATCAATTAAAATTTTTTTTTTTTAAAATAACAACTTTGATAAAAAAAAAATTGATTTAAAAAGCAAAAATTATTTTAAGCAAACAAATTTATTTAGATGACTTTTAAATATACTAATGTTAAAATCTATCATACTTTCAGAGCTCGCTTATCTGTAATTTTCACACGCACGATTTTGAAGTTTTCATTTGCAAACGAATTACTCAATTAAATTTATTTTTTTGTAATTAGTTTAGGGTAGTGCGGGGAATATAAGGACACTTAAGAAACAAATGTTAGTTGCAGATGAACTAATCATAGTTTTTTTAATTTCTAAAAATTCATTGATATAAGAAAATAAAGAAACAAAAAATTTATTTCTAAAAATAAGTTATCACAACGAAAGTAACAAAACTCTAAACTAGCAAAACTTTAACCTTTTGCAAGTGGGTGGGGCAAAACGGGACAGTTAAAAAGCTGCAGTTATTCGTCGATTGCAAAGCTTTAATAATAATGAAAAATGAAGGCTATGTATTGCTTAAATATGTTCAGCCATTTAACTCTCAAAAAATTAACATACCTATAGAAACTACACGCCTATACATCACAAAAAAGAAATAACATCTAAAATAAAATATTTTTGTGTGTTTTATTAAAAAATACCTCTACTCTAACCTATATATTATTAAATTGGTAATCGCTACTAAATTTAAAATTAAACAAAAAATTTTATGGATCACATAAATCACACAAAAAATATCCTAAAACTGTTCGGCAAGATTTTTGATGAAGTGGCTTATTAGCAATATGTCAGTAGAGTAAACTTTTTTTTTTTTGTTTTTTTATATCGTGTTACAGTTTACAATTATATAAATCGTAATACAGTTATATAAATAACTTTATAAATAAAAGCTTTACAAATATAAACAAGGTTTCTGATAGAAGATCACATTGATCTTGTCGTCAGAACCTTTTAAAAGCGTATAAGCAACAACAACAGCAAAAATAAATAAAAAATTAAATATTATACAGTGCGTTATTGCATATTAGAAGTAATTCATTTTTTCTTTTATAGAAAAAATAAATTTTTTTAGTTTGTTTTTTAAAAGTTCAAATGAAGTTGATAAATCAAAATTATTCAAAACAATTTTGTTCCAGAGATAAGGTGCTCGATATCCATTACAAAGTTCATTGAACTTTGTAATGGATATCAAGTAGGTATGTGGATTGAAAATTTTAAATTGATCAAAGGTTAGATTGTTATATATCATTAGAAAGTGCTTCAATACAGTATTTCAAAGGTGAAAAAATTATTAAAATCGGACTGTTGTACAAAAAGTTATGACGTTTTTAGTCGCAAATTTTTGATATATGGATTTGTTGAAGAAACTGTGGTCAAAATTTAATTTTTCTTTACTTAAACTGTTATAACTTTGTCAATTCTTGTCTAAATACCTATAACTTAGTATCAAAAGATAGGTGTAACTGTGGGCTACAAATTTATAACATCGTCCACCTATTAAGCGTTTCCTGGGGGCTAGAGGGGGTGCCGAACCACCACCTTTACCCTAAAAATAAGCATATTTTTTTCAATAAAAAGTGTTTTTTTTTCAACTAACGGTTATTTTTTTTATACAAAAAATTGCTATAATTTTATTCCAGACCATCAATGATTGATGTTTATTAAAGTTGGTGGTGGATATGGTGGTGATGGTTTAACACACCCTAATTTCAAAAATATTAAATTCTCTAATTATAAATAAATAAATTTTTCTATATTTAATAAAATAAGTGAAACTAGTATACAGTATAAAAAACGTAAAAATTTTTTTTGCTACAAGAAATTCATTTATTGGTGGTGTGCTTATTGACTTGTGGGAGGGGCGTGTGCCCCCCCCCCCCAACCTAAAAAAATAAATAAGTAAAATAAATAAATCTTTATAATAACAATTATAATTATTTTAAAATAAGTTAACAATTTAAAACCTGAATTAGGCTTTTTGCACCAAGTATAACCTACAAGCTAAAGATAAAAACCACAACTGAGCCTACTTTTGAAAAAAAAGTCTTTCCGCTGCTATTCATAAATTTTAGTTAAGTTGAGAAGTTTGTTAAATAGGGTGGTAATGGTTACCCACAACCTACAATAAAAAGATGTTGAATTCTTAAAAATAATTGTATCTTTAACAAACAAAATAAATTAGTATATTTCGTTTTTTGATATTTCATTAAATATATTTTATTTCATTACCAAATATATCAGTGTTGTATCCTATAAAAAAATGTAACAATCAATTTATATTGTTCTGTATTAAAACATTTTAGATATCCTAAGTTTAAATAGTTGTCTTAGCTTTTAGTAAATAATTAAATTAGTCAATTTCATAAATGGAACACTATAATAATCATTTGTAACAATAGACACCACGTGAAGATAAGTTAGAGCTGCCTATCAAAATATTTTGCAAGTCACAACACTTGTGCAAAGGTCATTCCAAGTCAAATATTTTTATTCTTCTCTAAAAACATTTATAAAAAAAAGTAAAACAAAAACATATGGTTTAATACCAGGCATACCTGACTTCAAGTTATATTACTTACAATACCTTTATACAAGTTTCATCATATGCCGTATCTGTTTTGTAAGTTTTATCACTTGCAGTATCTACTTTTAAAGCTTCATTACAAGTAATATCATAAGTTGTTACATATTACACTTCAAAAAAAAATCAACTCTCCTAGTCCAACATCAGCGGAAGCTGATATTTTTTCATGTTGTAGTCAACAGCTTCAGTATCAGTATTACCTTTATTCCAGTAAGAAATTGTACAAACTTTGTTTTGTTTTGTTTTATCAAGTTTTTCTTCTCTACCATCATACATGACATACTTCGAATACTTACTATTGTACCATTCATGGCAAAGTTTTTGCCCAACAATTCTATCTGACATTACATTATCTTAGTCATGACGTTGTTTGATAGACAATGTATTTAAACACTTTATTTCATTGTAAAAGAGTTCAAGCAACTGTTATTTTAGCTTTCTTTTGTCTTTTTCGTCCATTTTTTGGCATTTGCATACATGTTTTTTTGAAATATCTGCTCATATATCATTATGCTTCATTTGATTTATCATCTCTTTTTATGGGTTTCTGAATAGATCACATAACTATATTTTTATGGGTTTCTGAATAGATCACATAACTATATTTTTATGGGTTTCTGAATAGACCACATAACTATATTTTTATGGGTTTCTGAATAGACCACATAACTATATTTTTATGGGTTTCTGAATCGACCACATAACTACATTTTTATGGGTTTCTGAATCGACCACATAACTACATTTTTATGGGTTTCTGAATCGCCCACATAACTATATTTTCTCTAGATAATTGATCTAAACTTTCTAGGTAATTTAATTTGTATGAAACATAACAAACTGTTGCATTAGGTGATCTTTCTTCAGCCTCACTAAACATTCCCATTAACTCTTCACTATTTATATCGTGCTGCCTTGCACATGCTACTTCCTCCTTGAGAGTCTGGTTAATAGAAAGTGAGAAATATCTCTTACATTGATGAGTTATGACGTCTCCTACTGCAATAAGACAAGCAAAAGTCATATTAATAAAGTGTTCATCAATCAAACAAAACATTTTTTATTGGATCTAAAATATTTGGTTCAAGGTCATTTTAAAAA